CTCTTCGAAACCCATTCGGTTGAGCATAGCCTTAAGAAAATCCCATTCCACTCTATCGTAGGCCTTGCTCATATCAAGTTTCAATGCCATGAATCCCTTCTTCACATTAACCTTTTTTCGCATCGAGTGGAGCAGCTCAAAGGAAGTAATAACATTGTCTGAAATTAATCTACTTGGCACAAAAGCACTCTGGCATTCTGAAATAATAGGAGGGAGACAACCTTTAATTTTATTCGCAATAGATTTTGTGATGGTTTTAAAAGCAGCATTACACAAGCTTATAGGGCGATAGTCCGTAACCCACCTTGGATTTTTATTCTTTGGGATGAGCACTAAATTTATTTTGTTCAGTGGTGCTGCTGACTCTCTTCCATTAAGCACTACAAGACATTTCTTCTTCACTTCACTCCCCACTATAGCCTAATGTTTCTGAAATAAAATGGCCTGAAATCCATCCAGACTGGGGGCTGTAGTAGGCCCCATAGCAAAAAGAGCCTTTGTCATATCCTCATCCTCAAAAGAATAACAAATACTCTTGTCCTCCACTTTGCTTTCTACACAATCAGTAACTTTTGAAATGGACTCCATTGCCGGTCTAGACGACGAAAATATAGAAGTGAAATAACGAGCAAGAACCTCTAAAATTTCATCACCTTTTGTGCGCCAAACTCCGTTCACGTCCTCAATACCTTTAATCTCATTTCTGGACCTCTTCCGCGATGCTTGTTCATGGAAATATTTAGAGTTTCGAACGCCTCCCTTGATCCAATTTGCTCTGGCTTGTTGACGCTAGTAATAATCGTCTAGCTCTAGAAGATGATCGAGCTCCTTTTCCTTCCTCCTGATTTGGTCCAAAATATCCACAGAGTGGTGTTGTTTGTATAAGAGGGACAACTCCTTTTGCACTTTAGTCACCCACTTAGGAATGTTGTCAAAGGTATTTGAACTCCAACCCTTAAGTGTTTCTCTACATAAAGAAAGCTTTCTAAGTACCTCATCTTGCTTTCCCTGTCCCATAAACTAAGCCTTTTCCACCACTTTATTGCATTCCTCGTTCAAAAGCTAAATGGGATCAAAATCTCATCTTTTAACTCCACCAGTCGGCTTGTTTTCCTTACTACCTCCACCATATGCGTTCAGACAAAAAAGCTGATGGTTGGACCCCCAAAAGTCCAAGTTGGCAACCTCCGTCGCGGTAAACAATGTTTTCTAAGATGGATCTGCAAGAATCTATCCAGCTGAGCTTGAACGTTATCGCTACCACCACGTTGATTATCCCACGTCTGATGTTCCCCTCTGAACCCTAAATCCTGCAAGTTGCAATCTTTCATCACATCCCAAAAATTCCTTATATCACACTCATTTCTGTAGGTCCGACTCACATGTTCCGATGAGAACAGAACTTCGTTAAAATTGCCCTCACACAACCAAGGGAGTAAAGAATTATCCTTAATTTGCCTGAGTAATTCCCGCGAAAGATGGCGAGACGCTTTCCCAGGGTTTTATAAAACCCAGTGAATGTCCACCTCGGACCCTTTTCCACCGAAATAGCCATGTCAATGTGGAACTTATTATAGCTTTAAGATCCATATCAACCTCCTCATTCCAAAGGATCATCAACCCGCCACTTCGGCCCTCAAAATTAACATAAAAGCCGTTAGTAAACCCAAATGCCTAATCATTCTCTTTGCTTTCCTACCTTTCAACTTAGTTTCAAATAAGAACACCAACCCCGGTTTGTGTTTGTGGAGGAGTCTTCACAAACGATTGAACGCTCGGGGGTTGCCAAGCCCCCAAGAGTTCCAAGCTAAGATTTTCATTGGGATCGGTGGGCCTGCATCGCAACACCCACCGCTGGTGAAGAAATTCAGGCAGATTCAGATGTCTTGTGAGTTTTACCTCTATACTCCCCTGAAGTATCATCTCTTTTCCGTTTCGCTACTGCTTCTGCATCATTCTCCTCCTCCCCTAATTGTATAGTCGATGACATGGCATTATTAGATCTAGCCTGTCTTTTTCAGCTCCTCTTGCCCCCTTTGCCCACATTTCCATTACCCAAGGAACTCCTTGCCGTTTCCGATTTAGTTGAAGAAAAGACCCCACAACCAGCTGTAAAAAGGAAAGGACTAGAGATAAGGATTTGGGGATCATTCGTGTCCAAAATGCCATTTTGCTCTCCATTATTAGGAGTCTTACTATTAGTATCTAAAGCTTGTTCAGGCCCACTCGTAACCTATTGGGCCAAATCCAAGTCCTGGCCCAAACCTGTTTTTTTCCAGCTTGTCGCTCCCAGCCTTAAGTGCCATGTACTCACACGTGGGTTTGAACGACAAGTCATTTTTGGATACGGAGTTGGGAGGCATATCAACGATTTCGTTGGTCCATTCCATAACCTGTCTAAATTTGTAGCTGTCATCTTGGCCTCCTCAATTCTACCACACGTGGACTCATAAGCCCTCTGCCACCAAATCATTGGGACTCACATAAACTTAAGCAGGCTTGCTGACATGCGATGTAATAAACAAAGCGGTACTCCCATGATTGCGGTTGTGAAGGTTGGAGTCTCTTGATGTTCGATCTCTCAAGTTCGTCGCCGATTTGCCTTGAACTCTGAAGGTGTTCATGAATCAGTTCAGAGCTGAACCCCTCAGGCTCGACCCATAGCCAAACCCCTCCGCCGGCAGATCAGCTGGCGGATCTTCCTCTGGACACCGAGTCTAGCTGTGCCCGATGTGACCACAATGGTAGCAGAAGTCCGAGAGCTTCTCATATTTCACGTCTAACGAAATTAGCTTGCCACCCTTACCTAAACGAGTCTATATAACACACCGAAGAGGCTTTGATACATCCACCATTATCCTAACTCTAGGGAAATAACCAACACATATTCCTTCCCAGTCAATCTTCTTTACCAACATGCATCCCTAAGGCTGGAGATACATTGGACAGAGGCAAACCATGAAACTAAACCCAGAACTTTGTGAAACATAGGCTCTCTCCATCAGGATCATCAATATCTTCCATGTCTATTAGGACTAACAGGACTTTGTCAAATACCTAGGGTTCTCCATTCAAAACCTTCTTTTTTTCGTCCTCATGACTAAAGTAGAACATGAAGAGATTGTCTGTTACCTCTTTGATCTCCATGTTATGTGACATGTTCCAGGCGTGGGCCATTATAGATTGGAACACTTTCCTGTTGAAACGCTTATCAGTAAGAAGTTTCCCCAGTAGAGCACAACTACTCAGTTCTTTCCCCTTTTCTAGTAGTGAATCGTCGATACTTAAAACATTTCCCTCCTCAGAAGTGATTGAGAAGGACTTCCACTTGTTACAGATATCTTCCATATGAAAGGCTTCACGTAGAAAGATAAATCCACGAAATACCAAAGAATGGTGGACAGAGACAAAGCTCAGAGATAGAGAAAACCACTCAAAGAGGGTCGCACTCATGAGATTGGAAAGTTTACGCTTTACGTTTTATTCTTGATTCATAATTTTTTTAGTCAAATAATTACACTAACAAAAGAGTATTTATCAAGACTAAGAGGTAAAGATCCAGATTCATGTACTCTCAAAGATAAGTTATCTATTTTTTCTTTCTAATTTTGTTGAAAGTTGAAACAACTTGTATTTCTGAAAGGATTGAAACAACTTGTTAAACCCCAGCACCAAAAAAATAAAAAAATGGTCAAACTACTTTTCTTTTGAATAAAAATGTATGGATTGAGGTGATCGACTATAGCTATCTTCTAAACGTGACCAAGGAACCAGTAAAAAATGCTTATATTGAGTAGACGAAACACATATAATTTCAATCTCATAATATCAATCCCATTAGTAAATATTAGGCTGGTTGCCTCGTAAATAGTGTCAAGCGATTTTCATAAAAACAAGAACTCGAGCACGACACCTTCCATCTATCAAATACTATTAGGCTACCACTAAAACAATCACTTTTTTAAGCATTAGTTGAACTAAAATAATAAAAGAGTTTCTATGATAAAATCAGAATAAATGAATTACTGATAATTATTTACTTTTCAACATTAAATTTATATAAAAAAGTATCTATTATGTATATTTTTATAATCTAATATAATTTTAATCAAATTTAATGATTAGAAACTGATACACGCAGAGGAAGCCACGTTATCTCTAGTGAGAGCTCAAGCCCCCACTAACTTTTTTTGTTCTTCTAAAAATTTACCCATATTTTTGTTATTTTAATAAATAGCCCCCACAACAAATCTTTCAAATGTTTATATACTTTAATTAGCCCCCATAAAAATTTAGAAATTCAATTTTGCCCATACTCAAATCAACATAAATTTACATTAAATTAAATATAATTCCTTTAAAATTAAAAAAAATTAATTTGTTTCAACAAAATATTTAAAAAAATATATTTAAGCCCCGGATAAAAATCCTGCCTGTGCTAGTACAACTGGTAATGAAGGAGATAATGAGGCTTACCAGGCAAAGTCTTTTATAATTAGTTCGTTAATTTGAGTTGAGATGTGATTTTATGTGAGAGTTTTTTATTATAGTAAAAAAATTAAATATGATTATTTTTTAGAGCTTTTTACTGTAATAAAACTTAAATTGATAAAATGAACGTACCTAAATTGTCTAAATTTTCTCTCTTTTCCCTTGCCCTTTTGTCAAATCCATCCTCTCCCCTGTTAATGGCTAATCGATCCGTAACGTGCGCACCCTTCCACTTCCTTTCAATCTTATCTTATTATTATTCTTTTCTTTAATTAATTCCTATGAAAAACCACTTCAGTACGTTTACGTGCTTTGCCTTTCACGGGGTCAGCTCACCGAATGACAAAAACATCACCATACTTTTCGTCAAACTACGCCATTATGCCATAACGTCCTCACCAATTTTCCTCGTTCGACAAGGACTTTTTCGGTATATTCCATGTCTGTCGTTTGTGAAGCTATTTTTGTTGTCGTTGTTTCTTTTGATCTCCCACCGCATTCTCCGCGTCTCGCTCAGCTGCTCTTCTGTCAGTTCTCGAATCTATTCTCTTATTATTCTCTCTCAGAACCTTAGGAATAAGGATTTTCTTGACGAGTATTTTTTCCCGAGAAAATTGTGCGATTTTAGCAATTTTCTCGTCGATTGGGTTGCTTGGATGGCGAATCGCTGAGGCCGGATCGCCGGAGGTGCGACTTCCATGGCGGCGGGGACAATGGCCACCGCCGCCGGGGCCGCGGTGCTTCTGTACTTGGTGTTGAGTCGGAGGCTGTCGACGAAGGGGGAAGAGGACGATCGGAGCGGAGGCTTCGACTCGAAATCGAACAGATTGGTGAGAAGGAGGCTCTCCCGGCGGCCGGCTCAGGCGCCGGCAACGTGGCTGGAATCGATCACAACGCTGTCGGAGACGCTGAGGTTCACCTACGCCGAGACGCTCGGAAAATGGCCGATCGGCGACTTGGCCTTCGGCATCAATTATCTCATGCGGAGGCAGGTAGGTTTTGCTCTCTTCTCTTATGTGTCAATCGCATCCCTTGGGTTTTAATTCGCTCGAAGTTCGCATCTTTTGTTTCAATTAAATGTCTCTTTTCAGCTTTCTCTTAATTGGTTAGATTCTAAGAGATATTAGTTCTTTTGCATAATGAATTGATGCATTTGCCAGGGTAATTTACAAGTTGCGAGTGTATATGCTGGTAGTAATTCTGTAGAGCTTAAAGGTCCCGAGATTGTTGCGGAGTTGAATGATTTTTTAAGGTTGTTGACGCTTTGTATGCTTTTCTCAAAGAAGCCGTTTCCGGTGTTTTTAGAATCCGCCGGCTACACTCAGGAAGATGTTCTTCTTCAGAAGCCCAAGGCTGGGGTACGTAAATTATGTTTTTCTCTTTTGATATGTGAAAATGAGAATTTGTATGCTTTTTAGAGGGACATTTTCTTGAGTATGAAACAAAATTTAGAGGACTTAGAGATGACATTCATATTGAGAGGCTTTGTTGTGATAAAAAAAAAAAAAAAAGAAAAGAAAAGAAAAGAAAGAAAGAGTAATTCTTTCGATCGAAATAGGCTGCGAATAAATGGGTTCAAAGGGCTGAGTGCATTTCGGAAAGTTGGATAACCTCTGAGTTATGTCTATTTCAACATGCTAGGATTTTCACTGATTCCCGTTTGATATGTTCCAAGTATTTGGGTTGTCTATTGGCTGTTATACATCAATGTGTAAAATCTGGTTTAGGACATTTAAATTTTTCTAGTGCTTCACAAGTGACTTGAATTTTAATTGAGATCATAACGGTTGCAGCTGTTGAAGCCTGCTTTCACAATTATGCGTGATAAAGATTCTAAATGCTTCCTTCTATTGATTCGTGGAACACATAGCATTAAAGACACATTAACGGCAGCAACTGGTGCGGTGGTCCCTTTCCACCATTCTGTTTTGCATGATGGTGGGATCAGCAACTTAGTTCTGGGGTATGCTCATTGTGGGATGGTTGCTGCAGCCCGTTGGACTGCTAAGCTTAGCAGTCCTTTCTTGCACAAGGCTCTTGGTGAATATCCTGACTACAAAGTTAAGGTAACTCTAGTTATTTGAACTCATTGGTTTCCATTTTCCATCTTGTAGTGTTTCTCTACTTGGTGTCGTAGGAGTTGCTCTTCATTTCTCTTAGCTCCAGGGTATTCTGGTCGCTATACTCAAACCATCTTTTAATTTAAGTCTGCAGAATATAGTAAAGTCTTGCTTTTGTATTTCAGTGGGTTAGGCAAGTGACTTATCATCAACTTAATTGTCTTTTTTCAGTGAAATACAGATTTTCTTGGTTAATGAATTGTTGGCCATTAGTACCTTAACTCTTTTCCACTCCCTTCCTCTCCACTGTATCCCTTTACAGTTTTACTAACTTCTGAGACTTGCATTTTCAGGTTGTTGGGCATTCACTTGGTGGTGGTACTGCGGCACTACTTACTTATATCCTTCGGGAACAAAAGGAGTTCTCCTCAACAACTTGCATCACATTTGCCCCAGGTATGTATTATTGATCAAGTCTAAAAGTTTTTTTTCTCTTTTAATTATTTGCATGGCTTGACCTGCAAGAGCTCAAGTGATGACGGACGTTAAATGATGCGGTGCTTTGTAAAATCATAGGAGTTCAATCTTTTTCATTTGGAGTGCATCAGTACAATTTACTCCCCTGTTATGTTTTACATTGTAATTTGTCATTTTGCAGCTGCCTGTATGACGTGGGAGTTGGCAGAATCTGGAAAACACTTCATCACAACTATCATCAATGGTGCTGACCTAGTTCCAACATTCTCTACAGCTTCTATTGATGATCTTCGCTCTGAGGTACTGCAAATCTTTCTCTAGAGTTAAAATGGATGGCATCACATTTGTCTTGATAATCATGATATGATCATCAATTCTCATTTTAACATCCTTTTATGATGGTCGTTATCATTCATCAGGTTACAGCATCGTCATGGTTAAACGATTTGCGGGATCAGGTTGAGCGTACGAGGATACTAAACGTTGTCTATCGCTCTGCAACTGCTGTAGGATCTCGCCTACCATCCATAGCCAGTGCAAAAGCCAGGGTTGCTGGTGCAGGTGCACTTCTAAGGCCAGTATCCAGCAGCACACAGGTAATGTCTATCTAGGTCTCCCATTCTTTCTCGACAATTACTTTCCATTATTTGTTATATGACCCCGATACCTTCATTATCGTTAGATTTTATTTGACACTAGGAATGTATAGTGCAAAGTTGCAGAAGTTTGATGGTTGTTTACTGTATCAAGTTACATATTTCTTTGTCGTGAACTTTGCACATTAGATGATAATTGAGCCCTCAGGTTGAATTTTTGAACTTGTTTAAATTCTTATAATACATTAGATTTTCAATGTCAGAGTAACCAATGTCGTGATAGACGTTGCATTTCTCTCAGCTCTACACCCTACTCCATCTGTATTACGATGGTTAATGCATAGGCTTGATGATTTCTAGGTTGTTATGAAGCGTGCACAGAATGTTGCTCAAGCTGTAGTTAGAACACGCTCTTCCTTAACATCATGGTCTTGCATGGGTGCACGCCGTCGAAACGTGGGTCCTGCATTGAGCCCTAAACAAGACGATTTGCCTGAAATTGCACTGATATCTGAAAAAACTTCTGAATCGCTGGATATTGAAGTAGTTAGAGACACAGTTCTGAACAAACCAGAATCTAGTTCTAGTGGTGGATCAGGGCATGACGATACAGATGAAGAGGAACAGCTCCTTCCAGTGGAGAGAGTCACCGCTACTTCCACCGTGGAAGACATTACTGAAGGCGAGTTTTGGTATGAACTGGAGAAGGAGCTTCAAAGACAGGAGAATAAAGCCGACATCGAGGCCAAGGAAGAAGAAGCAGCTGCAGCAAAAGAAATAACTGAAGAGGAAAATTTGCTGGTCGATGCTGCGGAAAACAACAATCCAATCTCTTCAACGGAGGCTTCAGAAAATCATCACTTCTACCCTCCGGGCAGAATCATGCACATTGTTGCTGTCCCTTCATCTGATTCTGCCAACTTAGATAATGACGAACCTAATGAAGAACGTATTGGTATATATGAGACACCTAGAGAACTGTACAGTAAACTAAGATTATCAAGAACAATGATTAATGATCACTTTATGCCAATGTATAAGAAGATGATGGAATTGTTAATTAGGGAACTGGGAAAGGATGACCACAGTAGACGTGTAATTTGAAAACAACATAATTAATAGTGAAATGATATGATATTGCAATTTGAATCCATTTTGTCCCATTATGTTTGTTCTGTTCACTGATCTTTTGTCTAGGCCTAAAAGAGTGTCTTTTGTGGACCGGGATAACTATAATTAGGAATCTATTGCTTTACCGAAAGGAGATAATGAAGCAGAACCAGTCATTATTGATAGTGCAACAAGACTTGACACTGATTTTCGAAATGACTAGAATCAATAGCCTTCTGGAATTTTCTCGACCCAAATAATTTTCTGTGGCTTGAAAAGACAGGTCCAATATCTCGAATGCTAATTTCTATCTAGTCCTCTCAAATTGTTATGCTCTTGAGATGAGGAGTTAATGTCTGATCTTAGTGGTGGTTCATTCTTTTTTTTTTCCCTTCAAAAGGAAGAGAATAATTTTTTTTGTGATAGCCCGCTCTCCGCACGTATAAATCCCATAATTTATCCGTTCGGTTTGTTAATTTGAGTTTTTAATTCAAGTTGAGATGTGATGTTGTGTGAGAGTTTTTTACTGTAGTAAAAAAGTTAGATGTGACTGTTTCTGAGAGTTTTTTACTATAGAAAAACTCATTCTAAACTCGAATCAGCGAAGTGAACGAGGCCTTTTACTGTAATAAAACTTGAATTCTAAACTCGAATCGGTAATAAAAACGAAAAAATAGACTTTAGTGGGGTGAAAGAGTGGGTTGGGGTTCAGACGAAAAAAAAAAAAAAAAAAATCCTAATCGTTGCATGGTTCTATTGGTATTAATAGTTTTTATGTTTGTTGTATGTTGTTTTTATTTTGTTTTGTTTGTTCTCGTTTTTTGGAGTTTTTTTTACCCAACTCATCCCAGAATGGCTTAGCCCCATGGTTTTCCATGCTTGGATTCTAAGGAGTTATTTAGTTAGAGAATTTATATCGATTTGAATCATGATTTATAATTTATTATAATATTTTCTTTTATAAAAAAATATACATAAATTAAAAATAATTTTAATCTCATAATTTTAATTCACGAATTCTCTTAAATTGGGCAAGGAATAATAACCACAAATTTTTTTTGGAAAGCGATGTCTGAGTATAGCTTTAAACTGTAGCCCCAGTCTCATCTTTCCCCATATAATAATGGAGGACGGAATCCTGTCAGTATCAGTATGATAAATGATGATGTGCAAATACACTTCCAAATCCAGTAAGATTAATATTAGGTACTTGTCATTAGGGGGAAAAAAAAGAAAAAAAGAAGAAAAAGAAAAGAAAATATGACCATTTATTAATCTTCATTTTAATGGAAATTATTCTGCCACACCAAAACAATACACAAATCTGTAACAAGTAAATTCTATGTAGTCTTTTGCCTACTTAAGAGCTCGAATTCAGATTATAATAATCTTAATTTAAGATTAATCCTACTTATAGTCTCTTAACCTCTTTTGTACAAATAACTGTACACTACTTAAATTTTTGTTTTGAACTTTAGTACTAGAAAGTTTTAAGGATAGAGGGTGATGTACCCATATGACATATAAATCTCTCGTGAAATGAATTGTCTATATATCTTGTTTATTGGAATGAGATAAACTCAAATCAAATATCTAATAAAGAAGAGTGAGCAGGCTTATCATTCTATTGATCTTGAACCACATGAATGTTATATATGAATATTTTCTCCAACTTACTAATAAATAAATAAACAAGATCTCGCATAATTAATAAACATAATTCCTCAACATAATCACTTATAACTCGTTTAGTTTATTAATTTAAAATTTTAATTAAATTAAAATGTGACTTTATATAAAATTTTTTTATTATAATAAAAAAAATTAAATATATTTTATAATTTTTAATAAAAATAAAATTTAAATTAGTAAAATGAACTATCGTATCATCGTAGTTGAGAATTCCCATGTAAATTAACGTTTAAAGAGTCGGTCAGACTGCAGGGTCAGAGTCATATAGTCACAAAGGCACAAACGCACAACCATGTTATGTGTTTGACCAAAGTGGCCCCACAGAAACAACTGGCTCAATGGTGGCCTTGTATTTGGTAATAATCATTGGTTTACAAAGTCATATTTTATCACCTGCCAAACTAAAAACGTCATTAATTAGCTGCAAGCAAGCCAATCGTGTGTGTTGTCCCACTGAACTTCTCCCCAGTTTTACAATAATAACTTTCGCAATCAAGCTTCATGTTTAACACATTATTATTGTTACTGATATAATTATTAGCTTACGAATCTCCAAGATAATATATCTTAATCTAATCTAATCTCGTCCACAGGAATACCATATTTAACAATCATAAATTCATCCTTTATACCGTTTACTATTTTAATACCGACTTTGTTTTAATATCTTTCTTAATTAGCTTATTATAATCCTTCTAATGGCTCCAAATCTATGTACATATTCCTATAGTATCTTTAAACTAAACGAATGTGCAAAGTGGGTGGGGGGTTTTGTGGCCCAGCATGTGGCTATATTGTCCTAAATGCCCTTGACATCCCATCACAAGGTGGCCAAAGCGAAGGGCAATGTGGTAATCTCACGACGAGCTGAATTACAGTTTGTCCAGAAGTGTACGTTGCGTAGCCATACTGGAGAGCTAGCAAATAAGGAGGAGAAGATGAAAGATGGAGTCTAAGCAAGAGGAAGCCTTTGAATTCTGCGGTTCTATCTTTAAGGCTTATTATTGTCGTAAATTCCTTTCATATTCTGGCAAACGACAATCAGTTTCTGGAGGGTAGCGTCGGATCACAGGCGCACAACTGGTCGTTTTCTTGAACGGTATCGGGGAAACACAAAACAAGGTTTCCTGCACTGAATCTCCTGTTTTTTTCGAATATAGAAGTTGAGAGATCATATATATGTTTATATATATATATATCTATATATATCTTTCTTCATGATCTCATGATTGTTTTTCTGGACTTGGTTTTGCAATATGAGCTTTTTGATCTGTGTTGACTTTTGTTTGTTATTGTGTTGGAGTAGGCGAGTGTTCTTTCCTTTTTTGTTAATGTATTTTACAGTTTTTTTTAGTGCTTTTATGAAATAAAGCAAATTCATTATCTAGGGGAAAAAAAAAAACAAGAAGAAGCAAATTCATAAGAGAAAAAGGAAAGGAATAAGAAAAGGATGTGTTTGTTTCAACCTTCAATTCATGAAAAAATGTTAATGTTAAATGGCCATATATCCTATTTGATTGCAGAAAAAATATTGGGAAAACATATAGGAATGTTTTGTTTCACGAAGTGACTGATTAATATATGCAGCACAATATTATTTCATTGTTTTGTATCTCTCTCTTTGGTATATATTGTTCTTGATCTGAAGCTTGTGGTTGTGGAAATTAAGAAAAAAACACTAATTTGTTGTAATATTATGCGTGGATATATATATATATATATATGTATGTATATATAAAATATATATTTTCTTTGTGTAGGAGGAAATGGTTCTCTTTCCATCCATTCTTGATGGATTGGTGAGAACCATAACCATCAAGAAAGATAGATGTGATGATCATGTTGGGAGAAAAACTGCAGAAGCATTGTCAAAGGTGGCCAAAAAGAAAGAGCTTATTTCAAACTCCTCCGGCGTTGTAAAGTCCGAAAAGTCCGATAATTTATCATCAATTTTCTCCAAGAGAGGCCAGAAAGGAATTAATCAGGACTGCTTAGTTGTTTGGGAGGTAATTAATTAGCCAATAACCGAGAAAATAGCAGGGCTTGTTTTTGGCATGGATTCTAGGGTCCAAAACCTGCTTTTGGAGAGTGTTTTTGATGACCTTTAGAACAACTTTAAATCAAAGTCGCAAAATATAACTTTTCATAAAGCTCTTTTGAGAAGATTTTGAAACTTGTTCAAGAGTTTATATAGAGTTTTTAACTTTTTATTGCTCTTTAGGGAAAATATACCACTTTTGAAAAGCCAAATATTGATTGAAAAGCCATTGTTATTTTCGCTTATATCTTCTTCTATGGCATAAAAGCATAAGCAAGAACCATCTCAAATGCGACCTAATTAAGTTTAAGAAAGTTGAGATTATTGTTATCTCTATATCCCTTCAAGAGCATCTTAATGAAAAAAAAAAAAAAAAATGTATTTGGTTGGTAGGAATTCGGATGCCAAGAAGACATGGTCTTTTGTGGGATATTTGACGGTCATGGCCCTTGGGGTCACATTGTTAGCAAAACGGTCAGAGAATCACTGGCTGCTTCTTTGTTATGCAATTGGCAAGAAACTCTTGCTTTGACATCTCTCGATCTCGATTTCGAAATGGAAAGGGACAGAAACCTCCACTGGTTTGATACATGGAAGGAATCCTTCTTGAAAACTTATGCAGCCATTGACCAGGAGCTTAAGCAACACTCCGAAATCGATACCTTTCGAAGTGGTACTACAGCTTTGACAATTGTTAAACAGGTAGTAATATGATTCAATTATGTCATTCTTCTTTCTTAATATCACAATCAAGTATTGGACTTGGTAATTGGATGATTTACTGTAATTAATTCTGCTCTTTCTGAAAGAGCTTTATGTCATTTTGGCTACTTTCTAGTTTCTATATTAAATGATTAAATGCTTACCAAAGACCATGTTAAATGCTTGATTCTAAAATGAAGCTTAGATTGATGCCTTTTGGCTTCTGTTACTCAATTTGGGATTGTTCTTGGAGTCCCTAATAGCACTTTTCAGCCAAAGTGTTTGACAACCTTGCACAAAAGCAATTTGCACATACTTTATTACACTGATGAAATTTTATTCACACCTTGATAAATTAGATTATTTTGGCTTTTGACTTCTGAACAAACGAAATGCTTATTTTGATAAAAACATCCCAATAAGAACAAACTAGAAATTCTCTAGACCAAAATAGACATGTATCAGAAATACTAAGATTTCACCATCAATGAGTTTCAGGGAGAACGTCTAGTCGTAGCAAACGTCGGCGACTCTCGAGCTGTTTTGGCAACCACTTCTGATGGTGGCACTTTGTTAGCTCTCCAGCTCACAATTGATTTCAAGCCAGATTTACCCCGTAAGATCTCTACCATCTACATACATGAAAGTGTGCAAAAAGTACAAATTTCTCTATTATTATAGCAAATGATGAACAAAAGAGCTACTGATAATTATAATTTTTTTTGTGTTGCAGAGGAGGCTGAGAGGATAACAAATTCTAAAGGAAGAGTGTTTTGCTTACATGATGAACCGGGAGTTTATAGGGTGTGGATGCCAAATGGTAAGACGCCTGGACTTGCAATATCAAGAGCCTTTGGTGATTACTGCGTCAAGGAATTTGGTCTGGTTTCTGTTCCTTATGTCACTCAAAGAAACATTACCAGCAGAGACCATTTTGTCATTTTAGCAACCGATGGGGTATTTATGCTATTAAATCTCTCTTTTCATTTTTTTTCTTTGCGCCAAATCCAGGGCTAGTTTCCGTTCACTTATGAAATTCTTATAAGCACTTTACATGGAAACCGATGCAATTGGAGTGTTTGGTGAAATCGCACAAAAACATTTTACGTAGACACTCTAATGTTGCATTTGGAGTAAGGATCCGTGACATGGTTCAGATGATAGTTCGTGACTCGCTACAATATTTTCTCTCACAAAAAATACACGTAAATCGAGAATAGTTCTGAATCCATAAACCAAACATTCTCTAACATAACTTTATAGCTATTTCTTTGTACATAGATTTTTTAACATTTGTTTTACAATAAGAGTAACTATATCCTAGTTTACTTCTCATTATCCTATCAAAGACAAAATAAATTAAAGTTGCATATTATTAACTTTTTGACATTGTATCTTTTTTTTTTTTTTTTTTTTTTTTTTTTTTTTTTTTTTTTTTTTTTCCTGGTTTCACTCAGTTATGGGATGTTATATCCAATCAAGAAGCAGTGGAGATAGTATTGTCCACGCCAGATAAGGAAAAATCAGCAAGGAGGCTTGTGCAATGTGCTGCTCTTGCTTGGAAAGCCAAGAAACGAGGCATTGCCATGGATGACATCTCAGTTATTTGCCTCTTCTTCCACACTTCACTCTTCTCACAGGCCAATCCTTTGGTCTCAAAATTCTCGAGCTTTGCACCAAAAACCATCTAGATTGTGTAGCTTGCTTCAGCTTCTCAGATACTATTAATTTTTTTTTTTTTTTAAATGGTGTATATGAATTTAAGTCGTCTTGTTCTCGTGTTTTAAACTTAAAAGTGAAAGTTATATATCACAGAAATAGTAAATAATAAAATGCGAGTTTGGTTTCTAAATTTTATGGCCTTCAACAAAAACCATCTAAATTTTGTAGGCTGTACATAAATTTTAGCTTTTCAGATACTCCATAAAGTTTTTCTTTTTTCTTCTTTGGAATGGTAAATGTATTTCACCGATTTAAATTTAAAATTTAAGTTTTATTATAGTAAAAAGTTTTCAGAAACAATTACATTTAACTTTTTTATTACAGTAAAAAGTTCTCATATAAAATTACATATAAACTCAAATTAAAAACTCGAATCAGCGAACTAAACGGACTCTATATCCACACTGCTTATACTCCTGAATTCTAAACTCAGAATTAAATAATTGTACGTCATCTAAGTGGTGAACTATGGACATTTCACGATCTCTTTTTGCATCATGTTAGCTGTTTTACGTCACTCCCATGCTAATATAATTGATCAAAGGGAAAAAAAAATTTTCTATTGTTAAATATAATAAATGAAGTTGCTCCCTAAGAGTTTCAACTTTGTGCTAAGATAATTATAACATCAAATCAAATTAGAGTTAAAGAATATACAAATTAACAGTTGAAATTTCTTATTGTAATATTAGTGTGGAAGTTGAAAAATCAGAAATCTCACGTTGTAAATCTAAAAAGAAGAAAAATACTATATATTGAAATGTGCACTATAAGAAAATACTTGTGTGTATAGTGTAAGAAGATGCAAATTTTACTATAAATACTACCCGCTAAATCCAGATTTGCACAACATATTTTTGGACCATGACCAATCACATTTTTCAATGGATTCGTCTTTTTAATATTTTTTACTTGCAAATTAAAAAAGACCTTTCCAGTAACAAACAATTTTTCTTTAAAAAAAAATGTCTTTTTCCTTTTTTTTTTAGAATGAATTTTTTTGGTAGACCTTTTTATAAGTAGTATCAATTTTTAATTATTAAATTTAATCTAAATCATATTAAATTAAAAAAATATTTATAATAGATAGTTTATAATATAAATCGAACGGTTTAAAATTAAAAAACTATTGGTGATTTATTTTTTTTCTGATATTACTAAAAAAATTTGCTTAAAAAAATTCCTTATTTTATTAACAATGAGGAGAAAAAAAAAAAAAAAACTGTTTAGTCCCGCCGTTCCCGTTAGCTATATATGCGCAAGTGTCTGAAGTCTTCAGCGAGTCATTTCCCTCCCCTCCCCTCCAAATTTCTCCCTCTTCTCTCTCTCTCATGAGCTTCACATTCCCTCTCTTAGTTCCCCTTTCTCTCTCTCCTCTCCCAAATCCAATCGCTCCAATCTCTCTCCTCTCTCCTCCGCTGCTCAGAACCTTACAGAACTCGCCCGATCCATCGCCGATTCCACTCAGCCACTTGCTCAGCTCCGTCCGTCGCCGGCGGTCACCGATCGCCATGTCCTCCTCCGACGTCCGTTCTTCATCGACTTATGAGATTACGGAACTCCACGCAGAGGCTGATTTCGAGAAGCTTCTCTCTCCTGACGGTCGTATCTCCATTTGCGGCTTCGGTTCCCTCCTCTCCGGTACGTACAGTTGATTCATCGTCGTCTTCGTCGATTCTCTGTTCGGTTTTTCTCTTAGTAAATTGCGGTGGTGAACTAGAGAGAAGTGCGAGGAGTTCGTTTCCGGAGCTCACGGACTTCAGAGTTGCGAGGTTGAACGGTTTTCAGCGCGTCTTCGCTCATGTCGCTCCAATTTTCTTTGAGCGCGGAATTGCGAAGCCGGAGACAAAGGTGTTCTTGCTTTCCTCTTGTTTGAATTTGCGATCTGTAAATTTTTCGGGCCGAAATTGAAAGACGAAGCAAGAATTATAGTCTTGAATCTGTTGATAGAGTTTTTTGTTGCAAAATTAGCGATCTAAAACCTTATAGTTTCCGCGTGAATAGTCGAATAACATGTATATGAGTTTTGAAGTTTCAGGCGGGATAATAATTTTTCAATTTGTTGAGTTTTTCTGGTATTTTTTAAAAATTACAGGAAATCTCGAGCTTAAGTGTAGAGCCTTGTGAAGGAGAAAGCCTGATAGTTACAGTTTTCCAAATTCAAAAATCGGATGTACGGTAGTAGAGGATATGAATGATATATATTGTTTTCTTTCCACATGTCACATGAATGTTGATTCTGTAGGTTGATTTTTGATTTCAATGTCTCAATTTATTGCTCCAGATTCCGGCATTCCTTGAGAGAGAGCTTGAATTTCGATTCCTTGCTGTGAGTAACTTCACTAGTAGGTTTCAACTTTCTAACAAAAATCTGCTTTGATTTTAGTTTTGGAATTAATTTTCTCTTCGGCAGGTTCTGCCTGAAACACTGGATGGGAAACCATTTGACAATCCTTCGGTATGCTGATAACTGAGGGTCTAATTTAGCAAAAAGGATCGTTTTCGTCAAGTCCTTGTTGATTTTTCCAAGTGTTGTAGATGGCAGATTACTAGTTTTGTGGTTACTGATGCAGGTTATTTGTGCTCGATACAGTGACGAAAAATTCTTTCGGATTAGATGTAAAGGTATCTTGTTTTCTTTATGCCAGAACAGACAGCGAATCATCCATGTTAATTTGCTATTCTAATGTCCGTTTATAGGAAACAAGGACGTCTACTTTCAGCTATATGGACGATATGGCATAGATAAGATTTGGCGTGATGATATCTTACCATGCCGTGCTTATCTTCGGCACTGGTAAGTTGGGCTGTTTCTATTGCTTTTATAGGTACTTTTGACTTGCACTCGGTCAACAGGTGCAAAGAATAAGTTTTGCGGTCCAGAAATCAGTTTTATTTACACATGAATTGACGTGCGAATGTTTATCCGTGGTCTAAATTTTGTATCTCTGTGCTGCTTCACTTTTCTTCAGTCGATCATTCATGGCTTAGGCATGAAGGTCAATGTATTAAAAACTGACAATAAGAAATCAAAGTTTTAGAGGTGATTTCATGTTGCTCTACTTCTAATTGTTTTGTAGATGTGTTGATTTGTAACTTCATATTATATTTTGCTGATGTTTTGCTTTTGGCCAACTAGCTAACCAAGATGAGCAATTTGGTATTTGAGTGCTTGAATCTCTGCCTTTGTAATGTAACATGGTTTCCATGCCTATGCCAATTAGCTAAACAAGAGTCATTTTGATATTTGAGGTGTTGAATCTTTGTCATCGTGCCCTGTTTTCCATGCCTATGCCAATCAGTGCTAATTAGATAATGAGCCATTTTTGATAATTGAGTTGTTGAATTCGTTTCTCTACCCTGTTTGCCATTCCAAAACCTCTCTCCATAAACCTTCTTGTTTTTTCTTTTTCTTTTTCTTTTTTGTTTTATGCCACTTAATTATTAGGCTTTTAAATCAACATCCTGAGCCATTTCAACATTTGACCGTTGAATCTCTGTCTCCGTACCCTGTTTGCCGGGCCAAGGTTCTCTCCATAAACGGAACTTATGGAAGGTTGTGAATGTTTTTGCAGTGCGTTGGCAGCGAAAAATCTCAGCGATGAAGCCTATAACAACTTTTTAGATCACACTTTCCTTGGAGACCGTACAACAACTATTCGTCAGTATCTAGCAACAACAGGTTCGGGCATCATGGAAGAGGAGCCCCCAGAATCCCTGAAGACCCGGTATGGCGGTTGACACTCATGAATTTGATGAACTAGTTATTTGCAAAGGTTTAACGTCTTTGGAAAGTAAAATTCTAGGCATTGATATCAAATCATTCATTTATGCTTCAAGACACAGACGCACAAGGCTTTTCTATTATTCAGTTTCTGTATTCTATCATTTTATGATTTCATGTTCCAATTAAAATGCAAGTGTTACTGTCTGATCTAAACCAACTAGTACGTGTGCGTGCGTGTGTGTGTGTGTGTGTTTGTGAAGTTTTGTCGTTTCTCTTTTAGTTCTCGTAATCGATATACCAGATGACTAGTCTAGTTATTGAATTAGATTAATATGTAATTCTTTTTTGAAAATGATTAATAATTAAAACTCGATGGAAGAATACTTGATAAATGAAACCATTTGTGGAGAAACGTAACCGAACATAGAAAAATGAACACAAGTAGAAAATAAATTTGTAATCTAACGTAACACTTGCTATTTGAGTAGAAAAATGGCAAAAACGCTAGGAATATATGATAAAAAAGTGAATATATATGAGTAAAGAAAAATCATATTGAATTTTCCCTAAAAAGAATTATATTGAATTAGGAAATTGATGGTTAATATCTTTGAACGTTTCTATTCAGTTGACGAAGTCAATAAATAATTTCGGCTGAACAATGCCGAGAATATGTTTACACAACTTAGTTAAAAACCGAAAAAACGAAATGAAATTACTCAACGATATGTCGTGTCTCCTTATATTTGAGGCCGTTAAATATCAAACGATGTCGTAATGAACATTATTGATTTTAATTTCCCTGCCAAAAAATTTTACTTTTTACAAGCGATATGTCGTTTTATTCAAACGACAAGAAACTTATGAAACGTCGTGTCGTTTTAAATATCGCTGAAAACAACGATTGTGTGCCCGAAATAGTTGCCACTGCAAAAATTTGGGAAAACCCACATGTCGTTTAAGAACCACTGCCAAGATTTGGAAAAAACGACATGTCCTTTTAGAAATAGGCACTCCAACAATTTCTGGAAAAACGTCAGTCGTGAAAACGCGCAGTAAATTATCAAAACGACATATCAAAACGTCAGTCGTGCACTCAGAAAAATCTTTCGGAAAACAAACGATATGTAGTTCCAGTTGGACGACGGGAAACTTATTTACGATATGCCGTTTTAGCCTGTACTCAAAAGACAATGCAAACGATGAGTCGTTTCTAATAGAATGACGAGAAACTTATGAAACACGTCGTTTTTGGATATTGAAAACGATATGTCGTCTTTTTGGAGTAGGATATTGGAACTCTTTAAATATTATTAAGCGACATTCTTTTGTTTCAATTAAAGAATTTTTACCTTTTTGTAATACTAAACAACCTTCTTCATTTCCGACCCCATTTAAGTTAGGATTAAGACTTGTTGTTGTTGTTGTAATACTAAACAACCTTCTAAATAACAATAATTTCCTTTCATCACATAAATTAATGATTATACTGTCCTTGTAATTTTATTTTTGTTACAGGGGCTTAACTAAATAGAATTACGTATTAATATTATTACTATATTTACTAAAAACTCTTCACTTTTAAACTTTTATAAATAATATAAAAAATAATAATAATGAAAAACATAGCAGGGAAAAATAGATGTTGTAAACGCCCGACTTGTTCATACCTTTAATTTTTTAAACGGCGTCAAGATCTATCTGAAAGAATACATACAAAGAATAGTTATACGACTTTTTCTCAATAAACAAAACAAAAAAAAAGTATATGCGACTTTATTTTTTGTTAATTATTTTTCTTACAAATTCCCTTAGGTGTAG